AGCCCTTCAGCTCATGGCTGTGGACCACGCCCTTCGACTGGTTAAACTTCTGGTGTCGCTCGGACACACAAGGAACACCACCGAAGGGTGAGATCGTCTCAAGTCCGGCCAGTTCTTTATCCGATGCGCACTTGATGAGGAGAGTACCAGAGGACAGTTTCTGGACATTCGTAGGAATGTATCCCAAAACCTGTCGTAGCATCTCCTGTTTTAAAAAGGTTGAGATCTGTGATCTTTTTCTGCGCATCGGTGCCGCGGATGGTCAAGTACAGCTGCCGCGGAAGGTCTCTGAGAGGGGGAGGGCAGAGGCAGCTGTAGAGGTCTTTTTCCGTTTGGGGTAGGTTTGCTCGGCTCGGCGGCCGCACCTGCTTCCGCGAGCGAGACTTTTTAATACCGTTGGGAGTTGGGGAAGTGGTTTTGTTTAATGAAGGTTCCATGTGAGTGTCTTTATTGGTTCCCCACCATGATCGAGCCCAACAAGGTGACACATTGCTCGGATGACCAGAGCTGTGCCAGGGCTACTCCGGAGCTATACTCTCCACGAGAGCGCACAAGACCCTCCCGTCAAGATTGCCCCAGGGCTTGAAGGAGTTTCAACTTCCAACCGATTGAGTGGCATGGGCCGTGCCACCCTCCCGTCTAAGAGGAAAACCTGGGCCAAAGAGGTGCGTTGGCGAGGGACAGTCCGTATACTAATCTCTCGCCAACCGCCAGGTACCCTGTTTCCCTCCACACGGGTCGCACCTCACGGTCAACAAGGCGCCCACTCTGTGGGATGGGTGACCTCTCTTTTTGCTGCACCTGAGGTCAGCAGTGGGAGAAAAGATGGAAGAAGAAAGAAAGGAGGAAGGAGAAAAAGAAGAAGCACCAAAGTCGGTGTCGCATCCGGATCCCACAGAGTTGGGATCCATGTGCGACACCTCGCCTTTGAAGGGGTTAAACCTCCTGCAGACGAAGCAGTGGGTCTATTTATATCCCTCCGACTCACTGGGGGTAGAACCTATCATAAATAAGTTCATGCTTACATGCTTTTTTATAATATTCTATACCTATTCCAGAACCAGGAGTTCAGAACTTAAGTTTTACTTCTAGTCGAATTTTCAATTTTCAGCTATTTTTTAAATGAAATCTAATTGAGATTGAAGCATCACCCTAATGTGTTTGTTAATACTCTGATGGAGCGTCATTCCCAGTAGAAGAGATCTGAAGTGAAGGGTCTTGTGCGCCCTTGACATAAACAGCATTGAAAACAAGTACGTTTTAATTACGTTCAAGCCTAATCGCTTCCATGTTTTAAATGACCCATACCATTAGATCTAATCATTTGTAACTGTTCCACTGCTGAGCGGCATGCATCCCTCTGCATTTTGATTTTCCGTAAAAAAGAGGGTCGTTTGTTAGTAGTTCAACTGTGGTAAAGTGTTAAAATAAAGCTGTTGCACCTTTGGAGTGTGTTTATTTTTATTCCTAAAAGTAGTAAGTACTTGTAAGTAAGAGAATTAAACTGAGATTTGGCAATAAAACTGTCGTATCTGGAGTTGTGATGCCCCTGTCATTTGAAATTTGGAATCCAAAAAGTCGTAAGTGAAGATACGACACTTAGTCTTCAACATCTGACTGTCGTAACTGGTGTTAATACAGTTTGCTTGCAAGTTTCGATTTGCAGTTTATCGTTACTCATCATTACAGGAAAAGTGGCATAGGCAGCCCCCAAGCTCATTAGACGTACGAGTGTGGACTGTACTGTGATGCTCACATGCAAAAAATGAAACCGGTATCTCTAACCGTTTGGAAATAAAACAGTTTTTTTCGTCTCCTGAAAAGTAGCAAATTTTAGATGCGACTTTTTGGAATGATACCCTCGATATATATATATATTAAGCCTCTTGTCGACATGCTGCCTCTGTCTCCTCCTTTACAGTCCTCTGTTCCTCTTTCCTTGAAGGTCCATTGTCCTTATTACGTCATGTGACTTATTTCTGTGTTGAAATATCTGTCCCCGTGGTTGAATGCACCCCGCATAATTTAGCAAAATTTGATCAAATTTTAGCATAATTTCTTATTATTTTCCTGCATCATTCCTTGGTAAAATTAACGGAATCGCATAATTTCACATTTTTGGGCTCAGTTTGCATGATTTCAAAATTTTTCTTGCTGTAAAGAAATAAAAACTCAACTTATTTTTTTCAACGTTTTAAGTTTTTTTGCAAGCTGATTTCTTTTTAACCTTGCCTATTACGGAAGCGTAAAAAATGATTGGTATTGTATTGAAGTTTTTTTGTGTTATGCTAGCTCGAGTATTGTTTGCTTTGTTTGTTGAAACTTTTTGTTGAGCGGTATTTCAGCTCTACAGAAGTGGGTTCTTTTTTTGCTGCATTCTTGTAGGCTTCGATTTGTTACCATCACTTTGATTTTCCAGTCCACAAAATGAATGACTCTTCAAGAGGAGAGATTGTTTAAATGGTTCTAAAAAAGCAAACAAAACAACCTTTGATTTTCCGTCTTCTTTTCAATGTGCTCTAGAATCTTTGTATTAACATGTTTGTGTTTTAGGTAGAGATAACATTATTTCTATTCAAACTCTTTTAAAATTGTAATTAATGCTTATATTCTGTATTTCAAGGTTTGCCCATTATGAACTAAAACAATTTTGGTAAGGAAAGGTATTTTTCATTGATGGTGTGTAATGGTGTTTAGTTTTGTTTTGGTTTTCTGTTTTGTTTTAATTAGAATAAAGTAAAAAGCACAAGAATGGATATAAAGCCTTGCTTAATTCTATGTGTACAGAACTGGGTCTTGGGCAAACTACCGCTCGGTTGTAAGCAATATTTGCATATATATACTGTGTATGTAACTTGATTATGTAAATGCTAGAGCTTTGAAGTATTCGTCATTACCATGAACAGTTTTAAGAATTTACATAAGTTCCTTTATTTTGTCATTATTGTTTGTGTTATGCTAAAATCATTGCATAAGTGATAACTTTTTCTTTCGTTTATATGTTTCATGGATGCTCTGGTGTTGTTTGCTTCTTCTTTCCTGTCAAATGTATTTCGTATTTATCTCTCCTCTTTCTTTTTTGTGTTTGTTACTCCCTTGTAACACCTCAAATCTTGACCACTTATATGACTTTATTGTGTTGCAAGTGGCGTAAAACTCTTATGAAGATGGCGGTCCACCCACCCGGGTTTGTCGTGTTGGGGCAGTTTCCTATATGTTTTAAGCTAGTCAGTAGGTGGTTGATGGGTGGTCTGGTGTGGTTTGTCCTTTCTGTTTTTTTATCGTCCTCATCTCTCCTCCTTGGCCTTGTTCTTTGTGTCCGTTACTCTCTTGCAGCACCTCTAATCTTTGGCACTTGAATGACCTTATTTTGTTCTGAGTGGCCGTAAAACTCTTACTTAAACAAATAAGATAGTGAAATCGAAGATATGAGGCAAACGTCCTATTGTATTTATGTATGTTGCTTGTTTCTTTCTAATTTCTTTTAATGACAAACATTTTGTAGCTATAACTCTGTGTTGTTGAAATATTGGTACCCTGTATGTCTAAAAATGAACAATGTTTTCCTTACTTACATGGAAGAGATAATATACTAATGTAGACGTAGAACACAAGATGCTCTGTGACATAACATGACTGGGTGAGTGAAAACTTAAGGCAATCCTGATGTGGACAGACAGGGAAACACTTTTTCAAGACTTTTCTTTGCTGTATTCTTTGCAGTTTTATACCCTTACTACCGAGAAGAAAGTTCAAAAGTATTATTCCGATGTCTAGTTTTCTCTTGTAAATTTGAGTACCAAGTGTTTCTCTCCTAAATACTGAGGATATTTTAAAAGTCATTCTCATCCCTGGATAGGTCTATAGTCTAAGTGAGTAGTTTTACGATCGTATTCCCTTTATTAAGGCCACTTTCTGAATATGTTATTACACTGCGACACTTTTGTCATTTAGTAAAGCACTTACGTTTGGAGAAATGTTTTGTAATGAACCAGGATGCTTTGCTTCTTTTTCATCACAATTTAGTCTTTCGTATGGTCAGTTAATTCAGAATTATTTCCCTCCCTTTAGTAGTTTAAAATCAAGTTTTAGGCCTTGATGTGTGTATTCACTGTCTGAAAGCCGCCCTGTCTTTAGATTGACTTGAGCGTCTGTTTCTCTCCATGTCTAACCTGTCTTAGGACTATTTTATTTAAACAAAGAAATGTTTTGAAACATGAACAAAGCATCAATCAACTTGCCATGCCATCGACAGAGCTACAATTTAACGAGACGTGTAGGCTGAACGATGAATGTGCAGAAAATCTTCAGTGTGATAATGAAACTGGCACATGTTTGTGCCTCCCCTCCCTGTACTATAACGGGAGCTCCTGTGTAGAAAGTAAGTGTCATCTCTTCTCTCAGAGCTTCAGAGAGACCCGCGCTTATTCCAGTCTGGGTCCTCTCCTGCTCCCCTGTGTGAACATTGGCACAGCTACAGCATTCCACAACCCTTACCCTTATATTAAGTTATTATATCGCTCTCCTTTATTGGTGAAGACTAAAGACTTGTCCTTGTTGTTATCAAAGAAATCTTGCAAGTTTTCGGAGAGTCGGTACCCACTATCTTGACCTGTTGTATGGATAGAGTCTGTGTTTTGTTTGTGAAAAGTTAGTAGTTCTGTGTAAGTCCAACAGAAAGACAATCGAAGCCGGAAAGTATGAATAGTAAACAAAATATGGAAAATCTAGGGACTAGATGATAAGTAATGGGTTCTATTTAATGTTGATACAGTTTCATTATTGTTTTCGCTGTGAAACAGTCCGTGCCGGCTTTAAGCACGCCGGCTTAAAGCACGTTTCGGACTCAAGCACGCTAAACGGCTCTTACCGAATTTTTGCTATATAAATTACACGCCTTTAAGCACGGTAACTTTGGCTTCAAGCACGCTTCATTTACAAGACAGTCAATATTTTCATGAAGACCCATCGATGTTCGAACACAGTCTACACCGCAGCAGTGGAGTGTGTCAAGAGAAACACAAAGAACGCAAGTGATGGACACACACACTCACACGGGCGGAGAGGAAGGCAGATGCACACAGCCGCGCGCGCGGACATAGGATCTAGCCTGGGCCTAGGGCAAAGCTACATGACACACAACCAAAAAAAAATACAAAGAGAGTCGGGGAGACGAGAAAGGGAGGCTGGCTGCGATTTCACCTTTGGCCCTCGCTATCCATTAATCCTGATTGATTGTGTATCACGCGCGAGGTGGGATGAAGGCGGTGGTATGAGTGGCACAGCGGGCAGTGGTACACACAGGCAGTGTGTAGGCCTAGTGTTCTGTATCGTGACTGGCTGTCTAAATTAAGTTTTCATTTTCCATTCGACCACAAAACAAAAACAAACAAGGGAACAATAACTACCATGGCGGGTGTCTAAATAACAGTGCACACTTTTGCGGGACTGCTATAGGCCTACTTACAAAGGGAAATAGCACGGGAAATTTTCTACATAAAAATCTCAGGATTATGTCTACTTCGCACTCAAGCACGCTTCGGCTTTAAGCCCGCTTTAGCTTTCTCCCGACGACCGTGCTTAAAGCCGGCATGGACTGTATAACATTTGACCTCCAGCAAACACATGATACATACATGTATGCATAAGACAAGTTAATAACTTTAGTATTTCCATCCATGCTCCTTTGTAGATGCTTGGCTTAGCTCCCCACTGACCAGCCTTTTGGGCTTTTGTCCAACTGTTGACTGATACTTCAGAGAAGTTGACATCCTGTAGTTTTAGGAATGTAATGTTCAAAACAAGAGTCGTGCATGATCTACTGCTTATTCATCAATGCATTTTTAATGAACAGCTTTATATTTTTCGTACTTACTCCCAGTTACCCTGTCAGCTGTAAAAAAAAAATTTGATTAATTCTATTTACTAACCTGTGTAGCCTGTGAATAAATACAACTTCTGGTATTTCTTGGAATTACAGATTTCGATCTATGTTGAAAATGAAACTGAAACCCAGTGTAGTTTATGTGTTTTTTGAACACATTTTTTACCCTGTGATTTTGTTGCACACTTTCACAAACTGTTTTTTGGTTCCCCAAAAAGACTATCAGTAGGTTTTTAAAACATACACCCCCAGTGTTATTTACTTTTATTTGTTTTGTGTTGCCAAATGCTATCCTTCCATCTCGCAGGTGTTTTTTCTTAAACTGTTTTGTCTTCTTCTTCTTCTTCTTCTTCTTCTTCTTCTTCTTCTTCTTCTTCTTCTTCTTATTATTATTATTATCATCATCATCATTATCATCATTGTTATTAGAGGTCTGTTTGCTTTTATCACTTTCATTTTACATCCCCATAAAGTTAATAACTCAATAGGTCTTTAAGGGAAAGGGGTGTGTATGAGACATGAAATGTAAGGGAAGATTTGGAAATGATGTACATGTATCACTAATATTATCTCTATTGTTTGCACATTGCTGCTGTATGTAACACCCTGTACTTGATAAAGATTACAACACTGACATTTGATTTCATTGTTCCTTGTAGATTCTCAAAATTTGAAGAAAAAAAGAATTTTATTTCCCTTGAAATCTTGTAAGGATTTTTTTTCTTGGTGGCTTTAACCTAGTATGATACGCATGAGCTAATTGTGTGTGTGTGGTCTTTATAGTACCGCCTGTTTGGGGATTAAACCTCCCCCCCCTTTCCCCCATTTCTTTTTTGTGCTGATGTGGAAAATTCTCTCCCACCCACCCCCACCCGTTCCTTTACACTTCTCTTGAACCGTATCTTACTCCTCATGTTCTCCTACATCTCCCCTCCCCCATCCTCTCCCTCCCTCCCTCCTCTCTCCCCCAAGCCTGTTCAGTGGTCCTGTTGTGTCTCCTTCTAATCCATCATAATTCCTGTCCTCTTTGTGCCTGTTAGGAATTTAAAGCATACTGCGCAATACGACCAAAATGACTGATCTTTCTCATAGACTTGCGTTTTTTGAGGTCGTGATGTCTGGTCCTGCTCCAGCCGCACCAATTGTCAGATGACCTATTTTGGCTTAAATTATACAAGACGTGTTTAGTTGATCCTACAGTATGTTGTGTTTTATGGATTTGAAAGGTACAAGTTTGGAAAAAAAAGACACAATTTACTTTATACATTGCTTAGCTCTGTATGTTTTTGCACTATGGCGTCTTACTCTCAGGATTAGCCATCCCATCTTACTGTCTGGATTAGCCATCCCATCTTTCTGTCAGATTAGCCATCTCATCTTACTGTCAGAATTAACTATCGCATCTTACTGTCAGGATTAACCATCTCATCTTACTTTCTGTCTGGATTAACTATCCCATCTTACTTTCTGTCAGGATTAACTATCCCATCTTACTTTCTGTCAGGATTAAAACCTTCACATCTTACTTTCTGTCAGGATTAAGTATCCCATCTTACTTTCTGTCAGGATTAACCATCCCACCCTACTCTCAGAAATGAAAGAAGCGATAACAAAGAAGATCTGGGTATGTCTTTGTATGGACGTGTGCCCAGTTGTTAAAAATGTGCATGTGTCACATGGTTTGTTTGTCGACGAGATTTTGTTTTTCATGTTTATCTTATTTCTGTCCGTCGCAGGACGTATTTGTGTTAAACTATGTAGCCAATATAGTGATGAAGGACCTTTTTCTCTCTACTGCAGGTTGATTCCATGTTTTGTAATTGTCATTTTCTACTCCTACCCACGTAGAATATGTTTTACCAAAGTCATTTTTTGTTCTTACATTCCTATGTTTTTATTTGTTCAGAAATTGTGTCCAAAGATCAAGAAATGTACTCAGTAGCAGGGCTGAAAGAATCCTTCAAGCCGTTTTACATACTCCAGAGCCGTAAACTCTAAAGTGTCTTACATTTCAGATTTATTTTTCCAGCTGGTAGAGGCTTCTGTATGAGGCAAATTATTTAATGTGCTAACTGTTAAAATATTGTTACGTCATGTTTTTAGCTATCTGCCACCTAATTATGCCATACTTTAAATCACGTTTGTACTTTTGTTCCCCTGCTGTTTTTACCTTTTCACTTTTCACAACTCAATACACAACTGATGCGGTTATCCACAGAGGGTCAGTACAGTGACTCATATGATCCGAGCACGACTGACCAGTGTGCACATGGTCTTGAGTGCTCAGTTATCGACTCAGTTTGTGAATGCCCCATTATTGAGTATGTACTATAATGGGAGCCAGTGTCTTCTGAGTGAGTTTGCACAGCCCAGTAACGTGGTCCCTGTCTAGTCAGCTACTAACCGGCACTGTGGATTGAAGAGATTTAAAAAAAATTGTTGTATTTTAAAGAACCCGTCAACTAATCATTTTTATATACAGTGGAGTCTGCTTAAACTGAAACCAACAGTATGGCTGGATTTTCTTCGGTTTAGCCAAATTTTCAGTTCAGTGAAGTTGCTTAATTACGAGAAAAAATAAACAGAGGATTTATTTTCTTTCTGTAAAGTTTTAGCTGTTTTTGAGTTAAGCATGTTCAGTTTAAGCGGACTTCATTGTATCTGTATTGTATGGCTGGTTATATAACAACAATTATTGACTAATGCAAATCCCATAGCAATAAATCTAACACGTAATGTAAATCTTGATTCAATACCTTTACGACTCGATACACTTTGAAGAAGTTTTCTGTATTCTGTGGTACGTACATACATGCAGATCTAGATGCTAACAAAATGTGTCTTATCGCTTGGTAACTGAAGGTCCAATGAGATTTATAGTGTGGATATTTAAGGATGTGCGTTTTCAAGATTTTTCCCCCTTGAATGCAGACTTTGCTTTTGGTAATGGCAACGAAAACAGTGATAACCTTTGTTTCCTGTTCCTGATTATTCTCAGTTACTCACAAGTGCCAAATGTTTCAACCCTGAGTAACTGATAAAACGTTTTAAAAAGTAAGCACCTTACTAGATATCAAAACAGATCAATGTCATTTTAACAGTGGCGCCCGCACTGTGGGGAATTGTTGTTAAGGTTTTGTTGGCGCAAAGCTTTTCCTTTGGCCAATAGATGGGTATGAAGAAGGTGCTCTATTGTAGAGAACGTATAGAGAAAATTGTCACATCTTCTTCAGAGAGTCTGTGGTGTAACGGTTTGGCACTTACCAGACACATGCAGGAGACCCGAGTGATTTCTTAGTGGGGAGAAATTTATATCGAGTATCTTGATATCTCGCTCGGTCTTTTTGCTGGGATGTTCTATCCTTCCCAGCCCGGGTTGGACCTGACAGGCAGGGTCAGATGTCTGCCTCCTAATTGATCTAACTTGTGTCGATGGGTGTGTAAAAAAAACGCGAACATTAAAAAATAAACAGCAGAGAGTTTCTGGTAAATAAGTGGCACCATTGGAGAATGGGAGAAGTATGGGAAAGGTTGGGGAAAGCAGAGTTGCACGCCATGTTAACAGGACTGAAGACTTTTTTTTTGTCTTACGGGCTATTCAGATTGGGGGGAGGGGGGGAGGAGAGAAACTAAAGTACAAACGTTAAAAATACTTCAGTGAGAGAAGTGCACATCCCTAGATATGGCCAAGTGCTCTAACTTTCCTCTGATTGGTTCTCCAATCCTCTATGTTGTCATCTTTATTCTCCTTTTTGTAGACCTAATCATTATTTTATTTGTGTATACCGACAAAATGAATGATAGTGTACAATAGTTTGTTTACTGACCCTAGCAGTAGAGGGGATGGCTTTTATTCTTTAATGTCTCTTTTTAAAATAATGTTTGTTCATTTATCCTCTCTCTCTCTCTCTCTCTCTCTCTCTCTCTCTCTCTCTCTCTCTCTGTGTGTGTGTGTGTGTGTGTGTGTATGTGTAGTGTGTGTGTGTATTTGTGTGTGTGTGTGTGTATGTGTGTGTGTGTGTGAGTGTGTAGTGTGTGTGTGTGTATTTGTGTGTGTGTGTGTGTGTGTGTGTGTGTGTGAGAGAGAGAGAGAGAGAGAGAGAGAGAGAGAGAGAGAGAGAGAGAGAGAGAGAGAGAGAGAGAGAATCCTTTCGGTATACAAGAATTTCCCTCCCCCCTTTAAAAAAAATCTCTTCTTTTCCTTTCTCCAAGCCATTTCATTGCCATCCTGTTTGAGCCTACGTCTACTTCTGAGCTGTCACCTTAATGCCCCCTCCTCCCCCACCTACCCCTTACCTTTGCCTTCACATTTCTTTTTTGTGATGTCTCCAAATGATTTACCATTGGACTGTCATGTCAGACTCTCGAGCTACATTCCTGATCCTGAACGTTAACTCTTATCTCTTTTTGTCTTGTTTGTTTGTCTTGTTTTGTTTTCTCTTGTCTTGGTTCTTGCCCTAACTGTATGTTGTGAGAAAGTATACAAGGAGACAGGTTGATACAGATGTTCACTTAAAAACTGACTCTCACAGTTACTGTCAATTGAAGCTCCTTGCTTGTAATTCTCTTCGCAAAAATCATCAACAAAATCTTCTCTATCTTATCTCTTATGTCATCTTTAAACAACACATTATATTATTATATATTTCTTTTCGTCTCTTGTCAACATGTTGTCTCTCGTTCCTCCTTGCTAGTACTTTCTTCCTCTTTTCTTGAAGGTTCTGATCTTCCTGAATCTGACACACCCCTCCCTTCTTGAACTTCCTTGTGTGGCATTTCTTTTTTTTTTCCTTTTTTTTTAAACTGACATCTGTGCTGACGTTTGCCTGAATTCTTTTCTTCCAATTGTGCTGTGGGACATTACCCAAATGTCAATTGACTTAAGATGCCTTCAACAGAAATCCAATTTAATGAGACTTGTACGGAGAATGCTGTATGCACCGAGAACCTTCAATGTGATGACCTCACAAGCAAGTGTTTATGCAATTCTTCACTGTACTATAATGACAGTCTGTGTGTGGAAAGTAAGTGTCATCTGTCTCCTTTCCAAACCTCAGAGGAACATGCTCTTGGCTGGGGTCTTCGCTTTTTCCCAGATTACATTGTTACAGCTTCCACTTGCTTCTCTAGCGACCTAAATGGTGTCAATGGTTGTGTAAAAACAGCTACATTAAATGTTTTAAATCACCCACTACTTCCCCATCTTTCCCATTCTCCCTGCTCAAAACATGAATGTTTATCCTCCTTCCTAAACTTGACAAAAAGTTTTCAGTTTATCTGATTTTGTTGACTGCCAGATGTAGACATCGAATATAGTACCCTTCTTTTAAGCTGATGAGTTTTTACTCGGAAACTGTTGTTGTTTTATGGCTGAATTTATTTTACTAAAGAAGTGGACGGAGCAGAGGAATGTTTTCTAAAACAGGAGAATGCCAGAGACAATGAAATTGTATAAATATGTGCGTGCCTGTGTTTCTGTTTCTGTTTCTGTTTGTTATATATATATGTGTGTGTGTGTGTGTGTGTGTGTGTGTGTGTGTGTGTGTGTGTGTGTGTGTGTATGTGTGTGTGTGTTTATGTGTATGTGTGTGTGTGTGTATGTGTGTATGTATATGTGTGTGTGTGTGTGTGTGTGTGTATGTGTGTGTACATGCATATTAATGTGACTGTTTAGCCGAGTCTCTCTCACGACAAAGGTCACTTGTTTTCTCGCTTTGACCTTCCCTCTGTGGCTTTGTTTGGTGACTTGGTTCTATGACTTTGCTTAGTTCACCACTATAACTGGCTTTATCCACGCTTTTCTGTTTTTTGTACTGTTTATTCTTTAAGAAGTATTCTATACTTGTTCCGTTTATTTCATGGGTGG